CGACGTCTCTTGTTGACACTTTCTCCCCATTCCCTTCCAGTACAGCTCATACCTTATACCCCTCCATGCGAGGCCTAAGGGTGGGACAGCGTTCACCGGCCCTTTAGAAACGCCAGTGGTAGAAAGGGCATAGGGTGCCCCCTGGGGCCTGGTGCTCGGGGGAGGTCGGAGCGCGGTGGGTGCTGGCACGTGGTTTGCCTGCAAGACTCGGGCAGGAGGTATTTAGGCAGCTGGTGTTAGCGGGGAGGGCAGAGAGCTTGCGAGGGACTTGGCAGCCATGGGGGGGGGTGTTTAGCTGCGCCGGTGTCCCACGGTCCCCAAGAGAAAGGCCTTTGCCTTAGAATATCACTTCTTTTCCATGTGCATCTCTCTCCCTGCAGTGACCAAGTGGAGTCCGCTGGTACTTGGAAGAAGCTTTCGTAACATCTGTTTTGTTTTCTGCTGCTCGTGCCAATGTGCTGCGGCCCTGCCAAGGGGAGGTAGCTCGCTTGCTGTCTAACGCCTCGTCTAGTGAGCTTTTCACTCCCTCCTGGCCCTCAGCTTTGCCTCTGGGTAGCAGCCCGCCTAGGGTCATAGAGGTCTTACCCCAGCAGCTGCTTTTTTTCAATCTGCTTTCTATAGTGACGTTTAAACCTGAATTTCTTGCACACCGGCAGCCTAGAAGTAATGACCACGTAGGTGACGCTGCCCTTAGGACGCCTTTGGCCCAGACACAGCGCAAAGACATGTCCTGCCAAGTGAAAGCTGCCGCTTGCCACCTCTCTCGCAGCGTTGCCCCGAGCAGAGGGGCTGGGTGTGGGCAGGCGCGCTCTGTTCGTGCAGTGTGTGGATTTCTTGCCTTGAGCTTCATAGTAGCTCTGCCTCGCTGCCCTCCCTCTCCACGTGGCAGCGCTCAGCGGCAGCGTGAGCCTGGTGTCCAGTAGCTGTTTGTGACTATGCACGAGTGTGGGGAACCCCTATTTATATTTCCTCTAGGTTTCTAGCAAACGGGATTAACCTGTTTCCCTGTTACAGATAGTCACACACACTAACGTGGGTCTCTTAGATATTCGTGTGCGCAGTCTGGTCACTCCGTGTCCCCAGCTCTTCCTTTGCAGTATCCAGTGTAGGAGGTATTGGAAAGTGGAACTGGAAATACTGGGCACTGTATATTTTTTTTTTGTTGTTGTTTTTTTAGCTTGAGGCGATGATATGAGCTCTGCTCTGCAGGCCTGGACTCTGGGCACTGGGGCAGTGATGCTCGGGAGCAGAGGGGGTTGGTCTGGCAGCCAGCAAGGGGGGGAAAGGACCTCCTGAAGTCAGCCTGGGAATGCCCAAGCTTAATAACCACCCTTGTAGAGAAACCTATTTTTCCCCTGTAAAAATGTATGAATGTCAAAAGGGATCCTGTATTTTCTTAAACACTAAGTGTAACACGCAGAGGAATAAAAATGTCTTAAACTGGACTTCTGTGAACGTAGCCCTGCCTGCCCCGTCCTGCCATGGGGGGGACCGAAGCAGCGGGGGCGGCTTGGGTGCCTGCTGCCCGCTAAGGCACAGCAGTGGGGGGCTGATCTTCAAAGCGGAGCGAGGCGGTAGTTTCCCCACGCTCAGCTTCTCGCATTGTGTTTTCCTAGCACGGTGCTGACAGACGAGGAGGGGCGGGGGGGAGGA